TTTTCAATTCAGTATATGGAAGAAAATATACTCTCCACATTTCCAGTAATTACAGTGTAAGTAAATCTGGGATTGGACTGGGTTAATTCTTAGAGGTTCTGGCTACACTGTTGCAGCAGAATTAATCTAAAGGGTTTTGTTTTTTTAATGCAGAGGGCTAGGGCACTAACATATTATTAATTAGAAGTAAATCTGTCCCTTGGGGGACTACATGCACTGCCTGCATTTTTAGCTCGTATTTCCATTTAAGACAAATGATGGCTATTTTCCCCTTTCAGTTTCTCAGTTGCTTCTTTATTTCACTGTAATCCTTTTGTTTTGCATTGGGAAGAACAGTTAGATAACAGAGATAGTATGCAAAGGATTGATTTTTTTCAATCTGTTGACTGAACTGGAAAACATTCAATAATTTTCTTTGGGGTTTAGCTCACATTTTGCTTCATTTAGGGAGAGTTATTGTAATTTTCCTATTTTCCTCTTTAAAACAGCAAAACATTTATACAGAAAAAAAACTATTTATACAGAAAAGTTGTTTCAACAACAAAAAACCCTACCAAAATCTTGGATGAACTACTGTATCTTCATCATTCCTCACCTGAGATTGTTGACTTGATTTCAGAAACCCCATGATTGGTTTGCTCAACCTGAACATCCAATGGTTTCAGAACTTTTTTTATTTTTCAATAAAATTGCACCCAGGAGGGATGCTGAGGCTGAGTGACAGTAACAAAAGAAAACCTCACAGTGCCCACAGGATTCCTTTCACATTCAAAGAAGTTGTTGGCCTTTGCTCCAAGGATATTATTAGTGAGAACAAGAAGTGTTTTTCCACTTAAGTCCTCACTAGAAGGTCTCAGGTCTAACACACAGTCTTCCAGGCTCGTGAAATGAGACTTCTTCCCATTTAGCTAGACTGGACCAGTGTTTAAACATGTAAAAAGTTAGCGGCTGACTTTTTCTTTCCTCCATATTTATGCTGCGAAAGGTCATGATTGTTTACCTGTTCAAGAATCTGTACCTCAGCACTCGTTTGTGTGATTTCTTAGGTTTAGAGGACATGCTGGTTACCTAAGTTACATAGTTTTGCAGCAGGCACTTTCAAATTCTATAAGTTTGTGGAGTTCTAACGTAATTTTCTGAAAATAGAGTTCAGGTCTCTATTTTGAGAAATAGGTCTTGTTCTGCTCACTGAACACTTCCCAGTACTGCAGCTCTTCAGCCAATGAAACACAGTAATGACAGTTTATTATCTCCCAGGAGAAGGGAGATATTTTACAGGGACATGGACATCTCCCAGTCATGATGAACTTTGTACATTGCACTGATCTTTTCCCAGTACATTTTCCCAGTGACAGTTTTTCATATGTTAACCAGGCAGTTTCTGGTGAGCATGAAGCCTGTGTGGAGATGACAGTCTGATAGAGCATAGGAAATTTACTTTATCCTTCATCTTCTACTTGCCACTCTTTATTCTTCCTTCCATATATTGCATTTTTTAGATTCCTTTAAAAAGTTTTTCCCTGAGACATCTCCAAATTTGAGCTGTCTCTGAGTAAGGGTTGGCCAGGCAATGGATATGCTGAACTGCACATCTATGCTTTTTATGCCTCTGCAGCTGGAGAAAGTTTGGTTTGCAGAAAAGGATGTGGAAAATGGTCTGACCTGGGAAAACAAAGGCAGGAGTAACAAAGTAAGTGGTCCCAAAGAGGTCCTAGGTGAGGTAGGAAGGAAATATTCAGTTTTAGAGGACATGGATCTGTTGGGAGACAAATGCAAATGAGTGGCAAATGTTAGAAACCCAGACATTTTTCCCCTGTAGCTGTATGAGCAGGCACTTGCCACTGATACGTGTTACAGCAAGAAAGCTCACATGGAAAATAAGAGGGATTCTTTAATTTCCCATTTCTTTTTCTGAATTTTTTTTGCCAGTTTTAACTGTTCTTTTTTTCTAGTCCCAATCGCTCCCTAAGCCGATTTTAAGGTATCAGCAGACATCTGACAGTGCTTATGTCTTCCCTAATGAGCCCATTGATTTTGTAATCCAGCAAACAGCATCTCTTCCATTTTCTGCTATTGTAATGCATTGAAGAGTTTATCTGTGCAGTAACACACCTAATCATGTAAAAAGAAACTGTTGTGTTCAAAGGAACTTTTCAGGTAGTAAGCTCGTTTTTCCTACTAACATCTTATTGCTCTGGGCCTCCCTGCACTCATCCTTAACTTCTAGACCCTGATGTGGAAATTATCTAGGGCTTTTTAAAAGCCTTCTGACTTTCTCCCATCACCAGCTGGGGCCCGGATGCAGGCACTGTGCCGGCCAAAGCATTGCAATTCACTTTCTGTGATTCACTGTTTATCGTTAGGAGGACCTACAAGTTTTAAATTGATGGAGCCTCTTCGAGTCCCATGAATTATATATACATATGTACAACTAACAGTGGCACTCAGTGATCTTAAAGGTCTTTTCTAACCTAAACGATTCTATGATTCTATAGTATATGTGATGGCTGAAACACAATTATGGAGAATGCTAACAAAAAAAAAAAGGTAAAGAACTTCAGCAAAAAAATGGGTAAACTCTGGCTTAAAACTGAGCATATCCTGGGTATTACATTGAGACAGCTGCTCCTGACTCTCTGGAGTCACTAAACCTATGCAGAAATGAAGCATGAACTGAAAAACTCCCACAGAGATGTTCAAACAGCTCTGTCCTATTGCCCTGTGCTCAGTGCTCTCATTCAGCACATGAGGCAGCCTTGAAATACCAAAAAAATGGGGCTTCTGTCAAAATGAGGGACAAAATTGTTTGCTAGCTGTAACCCCCATCACTAATTCATACTTGGTGAATCCTAGGATGTTATTCAGTATTCATTCTGTGCCACAGACCGCAGTTTCTGGGGGATCTGACAGTGTCTGCCTGGTATAATCACTGGGGAGAAGCAGGGTGAGTCTCTGCAGCTGGTTTGTAATTACTGCTGATGCTGATGGTGTTTCACCTGATGGCTCCAGCTGCAGGGGGTGCCCCTGCGGCTCTGGCACTATGTAGGGAGTGAGGCTGGGACAAGACTGTGGTGCCTGTGGGTCACTGGAGAAGGCACCCTCTGTTGAAATGAAGCAAAGCCCTGGCTTCCTGAGGATCACAGCACAGGTCAGTGGTGGAACCAAGGCTGAGAGCTGGACCAGCAGGCTGTGACAGTAAGCTTCAGCAAGCAGCCCAAAATAGCTGTAGGGTATGTCCAGGGAACAAGGAGAGAATAGACTCCCCCTCAAAGTCCTTAATTTCTTTTTAAAAAAATGTGTACCTATAAATGCTACACTTTTTAAATTACCCTTTTTGAATAATTTTGTTATATAGTGTTTCTTGTCTGGTTTTCTTCATTCATACTCAGTCTAAACATGAAAAAAAAGCTACCTTGGAGAACATTTCTTCCACAGAGCTTCTTCCATATTCCCTTCAGCTGGAATAAACCTGCTGGTGTGGCTGTGCCATGCAGCTCAGCATGGGATCTCTTCCACCATGTCAGATGCCCCTCAGGCTAAGTCATGTTGTGGGGATTCAGTAGGAACAGCTCTCCTACCACAGCTGCTCAATTGCCCCTTGTCTGCATGTCACCAGGAGCTCCCTGATGGCTGTGGAGTCTCTGTGTGCTTTTAAATTAGAGCTGCCCGTTTGCTTCCACTCTGCAAGGTGTTTGTCAGTCTGTCTTCCCCCTTGCCAGGCAGACAGAGTTATGACACTTTTCACTGTCAGAAGCAGAGTTCGATTTTAGACCTACAGAGACGAAGGGAAGCCATAAAGAAATCCCTGCCATAATTCAGGGGACTAAATGAATTCATGATGAATCCATAGCTATCTTCAAGTTAAATCAAAATAATAAAAGATAAATGAAAAAATGGGAATATTTAATTTGTCACTTTCAAAATTCAGTGCTTTAACCTTTCATTTTAGAATGACTATCCATTTCCAGAGGTACTTCAAGGTTATTTAAATAATACTTTTAAAGTGCAAAAAGGATTGAACCCAAATGTGCAGAAAAAAAATTAATTTGTCAAAACATTTCCCAAGTAGTAATTTCAGGTTGACCTCAAGTCGCTTTCCTCCATTAACAGTTGGATTTTAGGTTGACTGAAAAACCATCATATCCACCACAGATATTGACACAAAAAGAAAGAAGACGTAGTAATTTGTCTGTTCTGTACAGCTGTGAAGCTTTAAGCCAGCTCGACTCTGCCTTTTGTATCTCTATATCTCCTTCCATTGGATTCAACACTAGTAAGGAGAACTTGTGAAATATAAAGGATTGGTGAAATGTAGCAAAGCACCAGTAGGAAAGTGCAAAAATTGGTAAGTTCAGCCATGTGATCCAGTACTACTCATTAGCATTTTCCCCCACTTTTTTCCAAGATAAATGATCAGACTTTGTTCTTTCAAATTTTGAAAGGACACCTGGCTCTGTGTATTTGCATTTGCTCAAGAGCATTTGGTGTTTTCACTTTTTTTATCAAATTTCCTTCAGCTGTTTAAAGAGCAGAAATATGATCAAGTAATGGGGGAACTCATGACATGGAACAATTGATGGAGGCACACTCAAGGTGAGCAACTTACACCTATTGGTCATGGTTGTCCCGATGGCTTCTGGATGCTAGGCATGTTTATGAACTCCACTCTGTAAAACATAACTCACTCCTCTTCCAGCCAATATCTTGGCTTCTGCCTCATCTGTCCTTCCCTCTGTCTCTTGCAGAAGGCAGGAAAGACATGTAAGTTGAATGATGTGCTCATATTGCTCTTATTGAACACTTGTGATTCCGAATGCAAATGGCACTCTTTATACATGAACAGGACTAAATTCACTGGATAAATTATTCACAACAGATAATTCAACCTGCTCTCGTGGGAGAATGTAATGAATGTCTGATGATGTTTAAAAAAAAAAAAGCCACAACTAATTTTTCCAACCAGTGAAGTCAATGGCAAAACCTTTTACTGACTGGCCAGGTTTGTCTAGTTTGGAGAAAAGGAGACTAAGAAGTGACCTCATTGCTCTCCACAGCTTTCTGAGAAGGGGAAGTGGAGAGGAAGTGTTGAGATCTTCTTCTTGGTATCCAGTGACAGGGTGCGTGGGAATGATTCAAAGCTTTGCCAGGAGAGGTTCAGACTTTAGAGGAAGGAGTTTTTATCAAAAGGGTGGTCAAACAGGTGAACAGGCTTCCTAGAGAGGTGGTAGATGCTGTCAGTGAAGAGGCACTTGGACAATGCCCCTAATAACATGCTTTAACTTTTGGTCAGCCCTGAAGTGGTCAGACAGTTGGACTAGATGATTGTTAGAGGTCACTTCCAACTGTTTTGCTCTATTCTATTCTATTCTATTCTATTCTATTCTATTCTATTCTATTCTATTCTCCATTCCATTCCATTCCATTCCATTCCATTCCATTCCATTCCGACTCTGTTTGCACCTGAGACAGATTTGCAGCTAATGAGGATTAACAAATTTTGTGATCAGGGTGACACCAGCTGCCCTTGGACTACTGGCCATCATCCCTGGCAATTCACCATGGGCATGATTTGGGTGCCATGACTGTGCAGTGGATACAGGGTCTGGGAAAAGGTTTGCGTAGGGGCTGCCACCGCCCTTCCCCTCCAGGGGGGCAGGGGAGGCGAATGGGGTGAGGGCTGGGCTGTGCCCCAGCTTGTACCACTGCTCTCCGCTGGCCGTCGGCAGTGGGGACATGCGGCCTCGGGGCACTGGGGAGAAACAGGGACACAGGGATGGCGGGAGTCAGCCTGGTGAGGTGGGAGATGGGGAAGTAAGGGAGGGGGGTGAACTTGGCATCCTTTGCCTCTGGCCCCGGGGGTATTTACGTCCAGGTTCCGTCTGGGTGTCCCATGTTCCCACCCGTCTGTTCCTGCCGTGTGGTGCACTGATACCTGCAGGCTGTCACCACCCGCAGCCCCACCGGCCCCTTTTCCTCTCGGCGCTGCGGGTGCTTCGCTGCGCCGCAGAAGCGCACGGCCTCAGCCACGCAACGCCCGCGGTCCGGGGCGCGGAGCGACTGTGCCGGGAGGACACAGCGGCGATGCAAAACGCTCTCATAAATAAAAGCTGAGCCCTGCGCGGCACCTTCCCAGGGTACCCGCGAGCCTGGCCGTGCGAGGGAGAGGCAGCGGGAGGCAGTGGGCAGGGGCCGCGTTATGTAAGGCCCGCGGGGCGGGCGTGGCGGGGGCGCTGCCGGCGGTGCTGCGGCGGCGCAGGTCGGCTCGGCTCGGCTCGGCTCGGCTCGGAGCGGGCGGCGGCGGCCGTCTGGACCGGGCCCGCGGCGGCGGAGGGAAAGCGGCTTATCCCCCTCCCTCCCTCCCTCCTCCCTGTTGCCATGGAGACGGGCGGGCGGCGGCGGCGGCGGCGGCGGGGCTGTCAGTGAGGGATCGCACCGCGCTCCGCGGCGGAGGGGAAGCCGCGGCGGCGGCGGCAGCGGCAGACATGGACTCGCACTGCGACTGTGCCGAGCCCCCGGCCACCGAGCAGCCGTCGGGGAGGATTAACAAAACCGCCTTCAAGCTATTCAGGAGGAGGAAGTCCGGGGGCACCATGCCGAGCATCTTCGGGGTGCGCAGCAGAGGCGGGGAGGGGAAGGGCGCCGGCAAGCCGGGGATGGTGCGGAGCCGGACGCACGACGGCTTGGCCGACGCCGTGCTGGAGAGCAGCAAGAAGGAGGAACCGGTCGGCGGCGACCCACAGGGTCGGGAGGCGCAGGAGCGACCGGCCGGCAGCCTCGGCGGCCCCGCCAGCCTCGGCGGCCCCGCCGGCCCCGCCGGCAGCGCGGTGGCCAAGTCGCACAGCTTCTTCTCGCTGCTGAGGAAGAACGGCAGGCAGGCGGAGGGCGCGGAGCCCCGCGCTGGCGGCAGACAAAAGAAGGGGCTGAAGGGGATCTTCAGCAGCATGCGGTGGCACAAAAAGGACAAAACCGGCAAGGACGAGAGGGGGGAAACCTCGGACATCCCGTCCGGCCTTATCATGCCGGGGTCCCTGACCGCCAGCCTGGAGTGCATCAAGGAGGAGACGCCGAAACCTTTGTCTGAGACCCCGAACGGCGCGGGAGACGCGGGACCGGAGCCGCCGCGGGAGAAGCGCAGCGGCGAGGCGCCCGCCGAGGCTGAGGAGCCCGAAGCAGGCGGCGGGGAGCCCCGGGCCAGCAGCCCCCCGCACCGGGAGGAGCCGGCCCCCGCCGCCGCCGTGCGACGACTCGAGGAGCTCAGCCGCGAGCGACCGGAGCCAGGCGCCGTAGAGGTTGGGACTGCGAAGGATGCGGCGATAACAGGTGAAATTCCAATAACGACTATCCCCCCTGTTGAACCTCACTGTGATAGCGGTCAAGAGACGGCAGCCGCCCCTGACCCTTCCTCTGTTGATCCACCCTCAGAGCAGTCGATTGATCGTATTTGTTTGATGTTTGCTGACGTGACTTCACTGAAAAGCTTTGACTCTCTTACAGGCTGCGGAGATATTATTGCGGACCACGAGGAGGATGTGGGCGGCGGGAGTGGCGTCTGCGAGAAGAGCACCCCCGTGGCCAGCAAGCTGGGTGCCGCCAAGAAGCACCCCACCATGGTGGCCTACCAAGGAGGAGGGGAGGAGATGGCCAGCCCGGACCAGGTGGATGACACCTGCCTGCAGGAGTTCTGGGATATGCTGTCACAGAAAGACGAGACTCAGACAGAAAGAGGAGGAAGTGGAGGAGGGACAAAGAAGCCCGAGGAGTTGAAGGAAAACCGAGGTACCGAAGGGGCCCAGAATAGGGTGGTGGTGAAGCGTGGTGACCTCCACCAGATTGCCATACACGTCAACCACAAAGAGGAGCAGAAGGGGAGAGAGAAGGAGCAACACGAAGGCATCCCAAACAGTGACGAGGGCTACTGGGATTCCACCACCCCTGGTCCCGAGGAAGATGGTTCCACAAGCATCCAGAAGGAAACCATTCCCAGGGACAGCTACAGTGGGGATGCTCTCTACGACCTCTATGCCGAGCCGGATGAGAACCCACCAGTGGGGCCTACGAACGAAGAAGTCACCAGCGTGCCACGCTCCAAGCCCGTGTCGCCGATAACAACCACGAGCTCACTGAAAACACCCTCAAGCACAGCGAAGGACTCCAAGATACCCATCAGCATTAAACACCTCTCCTCGCATCCCCCCAGCCATGGAGCAGACGCCAGTAACAGCCATCACGTGGCACACCATCACCTGGCCAAGAGCGAGATGCACAGAACAAAAATCCCTGTCTCTAAAGTACTGGTACGCCGGGTCAGTAACAGGGGCGTAGCAGGGACAACAGTGAAAGCTGCCACGTACCAGGACAGTGCCAAAAAGTAGTTGAGTAAGAGGTGGAGACAAAGACAGACAACGAGGTCAATATGTGAAAGTCTGCATACGGGACCACAGATAATGAATTAGTTTTGCGTCACCTGAAGAAAGGCACCTAAAAGGCTTCCTTCACTGTACTCCGTGGGCCTGCACTTCTGAATCTCTTCTTACTGGACTGTTTGGCTGAATATAAAAAGTCGACTTCTTTTTGAGCACTTTTTTTTTACATTTGTATCTTTTTTCTGCAACACTAAACTCTGGGGAGGTTAATTTTTACACACCTTTCTGGATGTAGGACTTGGATTATGAGCCTAAATGACCATCCTTCCTCATGCAAAGCAGTATCATGAGTTCTTCAAAGGAACAAAGTTACAAAAAGGAGCAACATGAGAGGTTCTTCAATACACTTATCTTTTAATCATTTCTGGGGGAGGAGTGAAGGGTGGGTGCCTGGCTCTGAAAATGATGTTTGCTCTACGAGATGTTGGAAAAAAATGCCAAGCAAAAAACAACCAACCTAACAGGTATTTTACCTGCTGTAGGAACGAGAGCACTGCTCAGCAGCAGACCTGATTGACTTGTGTGCAGGAGCTAACTAAGGAGTTAGGTGGACTTGTCTAACAGGAAAACATATTTTTGTTTGTCTGTCTCTCTGGTTGGTCTTGATCTGGTCTAATGTAAATGGGTAACAGACACACCTGACATAGATTCAGATGTTTACATCAATACTTGTCAGATAATGCATACAATCAGGTTCAGGGAAACATTTTACTAAATGCCAATATATACACACTGTCCACATTTATACAATAACTTTCGCCATGTGTAAATATATACATGTTTTAGCAGATTTACTCAATGCTACAGATTTTTTATGGAAAAAAAAAGTCACCCGTCCTTATTATCTAGAGTTTAAGCAAAAGTTAGTTTTTATAGGTAGATAATTTTACAGTTCTAAAATGATAGAACTTTGTGTAAGTACCTTAAATTAGAGCAAAACTCTGGTTTGTATGGGCTCATGCATCCCCAGATAAGTAAGTCTGAAGTGCTGATTTTATCCTAGTGGCACATTCCATGGCTCAGAGCTGAGGTTCTGACAGCACTGCCACTGCAAACCTCTATTTTCAGGGGTTTAGACACAGTTGCTCTGGGCTTAAACCTTACAGAGAAGGAACCCAGCAAAGAAATGTGTTTTTTAAGTATTATTTTTTAAAATATATAAAATTAGTTTTTGACTATTTAAAGAAAGTTTGGGTTCTTGTTGCTTTTTATTTTCATTCTTAATAATGTCAGAATAATTTTACTTTAAGAGAGAGAAAGAAAATATGGTAAGCTAGTGGTGCATAAAATGGTCTGATGAGCTTGTATCTTATGAGAAATGTATTAATGGCCAGGACATTTTTAAATAGTGGCTACTGTACATGGGCATTGGCAACATTTTAAAGAAATTTAATAGGGTTTTAATGTGCCTGAGGACATATTTTTATGATACACTGAAAAAGCTCCAAAATTCACTGAAGTTTAAAGGTAAATGTTATGTATTTACAAAATATTTTGATATACATATTTAATCATCAGACCACATTTAATATAAAATATATGCTCCAGTGTATCTAAAAAATAATATACATTTTAAAAATATACATGTCTATATTATGCAGAGAATCCTAAATTCACATCACTGAAGCTAATGGGTCTGATCTTACATAGCAGTTGGTTTTATTGTCTCTAAAATCAAAAGAAAAAAAGGAAAATAAATATACAGAATATGCATTTGAAGGATATTAAGGTTATAGGCAAACCATAAAAAGCCAGGATATACCATAATAAGAATTGTATATATGTATATGTGTGGTTCATGGTTCACTGGGGAAATGACCTTAGAGTCACAAAGGTAAAATTGGCGTCTAGTCCTGAAATTGCTGCAGGATTTAATACCGAGTTGCAACACGCCAGTGAAAGTGTTAGTTTTTCCTGACCAGTCCCTGTTTTCATGGTTTGAGAAAGAACCTTAATACACTTCAAGGAAGATTATTTTATATGCTTTCTTTCTTATGTGTATGTGTGTGGTTTCCTATATGCCTCCCCACACGGTCGTGTTGTACATATGCATGTGTAGTCACACGCACCTCCTCCCAGGGTATGTGCACCATGCTCATGTGAGCACAGCCATGCGTGCCCGCTCCCACGCACAGGCTCAGGGGATCTGTCTCCAAACATGCTGGCGATGGTTTCCTTCGCCTGAGAAAGGGATTTGCATTTGGCCTGACTCTGCTTGTGCATTTTAGAAAGTTAAAGCTGAAATACCCTCAAAAGGATGTATGTACAGAACATGGAATATTATCCTGCTCCTCAGCCCTAAATCTAACATTCCTTTTTCTGTTCTTTTGTTTTTGCTCGACTGTAAGGGACACATCTTTCCTTGCATGACAACTCTGCAGAAAAATCCTAGTTCCCCATTTTGTTCTAAGGACAAATTGTGCTGAAAGATTCTATAGGGTACTGGAAGTTGAGAGGGAGGGAGGATGTGGGGGTAGTACCATAAAAATTGGAAGCAGTGAGTACAGGTAGTAGGAGTGGTGCATCTTTAAAACCACTAGGAGATACCAGCTGTCGTCTGTACAGGACTTGTGTGTGGCAAATTATTCATCATATATGTTTTTTGTTTGCGTTGTGGCATGTCTGTATTGAGAAACCAATATGACACTAGACTAACTCCCTCTCACGTAACCATTAACACGAACCATCATTAAAATGCTTTGTCTTCCCTTCATTTTTCTCTCTCTCCTTTGTTTTCTGCCATGTTTTTCCTCCATCCTCTGCATGCTGGTGGGTGGCTTCCCCCACGGTGCTAACCCCTGGAGCGAGGAGCCCTGGGCTGGCAGTCGAGCGTGGGCGGGAGGGCGGCTGCCCTGCCTGCCGATGCCAGGTGCTCCCCAGTCGCTCTCTCAAGCTTTCTATTGCATACCCAGTGTAAGTACATTTTGCAAATCTCTTGGTGGTTTGTTTGGCTGCTTGCTATGTACATATTTTAAGGACAATCATATCCTTAAAAGGAAAACAGGAAAGTAGCTGGTAGTAGAGCGTCAGTATTTTGAATCATTGTGGCATACTGACGTTG